CATCAGGAGCATCCTGTCCTGCCAGAAAGTAAAGCAGTACTTAAAGAATGATGGGAATATATCAACAGAACACAAGAAGCATCTTGAAAGGGCCCCCACAGGACAAATTTGGGACAATCTGAGCACAAAATAACAATAGTACTGGATTCTGAGTCACTGAATACCCCTGAGTTCACAGTGCTATAAATACATAGGTAGGGAAGAAGGGAAAGTTCTTTCTTACTGTAAAATACCAACTAATAAATACAGAAACAAAAACAGAGTTAGAAAATAATCAATGGAGACTAAAAGAGAGGGTGGAAACTCAACAGGAACCACATAAATAGCAACTTTGTGGCAGACAGACTTGGAGATACATCATGGACTTCCTGATGAGACTCACAAAGGACACATCCTTTCTAGGGTAATTCGGACCAAAAGCATAACCGGAATCTAATGATAATGAGAAGTATCAGGAAAAAGCAATAAATACATACATACATATATTTTTAAATAACAAGGTCAAGAAAGACAGAGAGGCTAAGAAATGATTCCACATCAGAGGAGAAGAAAGAGACCTGAGAGTTAAATGCAGCACGTGATCCTAGGCTAGATGCTGTACTGGGGAAAAATGAGCCTTAAGGAACATCAATGGGGCGCCTGGGTGGCTCAGTTGGTTGGGCGACTGCTTTCGGCTCAGGTCATGATCCTGGAGTCCCAGGATCGAGTCCCGCATCGGGCTCCCTGCTCGGCGGGGAGCCTGCTTCTCCCTCTGACCCTCCCCCCTCTCATGTACTCTCTCTCATTCTCGCTCTCTCAAATAAATAAATAAAATCTTTAAAAAAAAAAAAGGAACATCAATGGAATAACTGGAAACATTTAGATATGGTCTGTGGATTAGATAATAGATTATATCAATATCAAATCCCTTGATTTTGGTATTTATTCTATGGCTTTATATGAGAACATCTTTGCTCTTAGGAAACACACAAAGAGCATGACATCTCCACCTTACTCTCAGGATTCAGGGGTAAAACACACACACACACACACACACACACACAGAGTGAATGACAAAGCAAATTTGGCAAAAAGTAAGCAAGTGGGGACTCTTGGTAAAGGGTATACAGGCAGCCCTTGTATTATTCTTGCCACTTTTCTGTAGGTTTGACCTATCAAAGCCAAAAGGTTAGCAAAACACACACACACATACATACATTACTAGAACTATTCTCCATTTAGTGTGAGCAAGCAGCAGCTCAGGCGTATTAAAGAGAACTGTTGAGCCACAAAAATACTATGAGCCAGGCCTAGAACTTGCACACAGGTCTTCTGACAACAAACCTTTCCTGGGTCACTGACTGTTCCCATCAGACAATGATCAATCAGCAAACGCTCTCCATAATCCTTAGCGTAGGCCTCAGCGCCACCCCACCTCCCCATCCCCTTAGCCCTCCTCTGCTACCATTCTCCCAACTCCCATTGCACGTCAAAAATGCAAAACAAGATCCCTCCTCAGGGCATTCTCTCTACTCCCAGCCTGGGTTGCTCTTCTCTAAGAGATCAGCAGAGCTCACCCCCCCGCCCTTCTGAGAACACCTTAGAAAGCCCTCTTGTACTTACCTAAATAAGGCAGCATCCTCCCTCCTGTCTCGATTCCCCTTACCTTCCTCTGTTTCTCTCTCCCACTGACCACATTCTGACATGTTACCTATTTGTCTTTCTAGACAGACTACAGGTTCCACGAGGATGGAGACTTGGTCTATTTTTCTGTTCACTGCTATATATTTGCAGTTCTTATAATAGCTCTAATAGTTCTTAATAGTAGCCTGACACATGGATGCCATGCTTGGAAAGTATGTATTGAGTGACCAGATAAATTAACAAATGCATGGGATTCCAAATAAACTTGCAACTGAATTTTTCTGGAAACGGATTCTAAAATGTATATGGAAGAATAAAGGAGCACAGAATTAGCTAGGACAACTATAAAAATGAAACAAAAATGGCACAAAAGTAGCCACATAGATCACTACAACAGGATAGAGTCCAAAAATCAACCCACACACATATATATATGGTCAATTAATCTACAACAAAGGAGGCAAGAACATGCCACAGGAAAAAGATAGTGTCTTCAACAAATGGTGTCGGGAAAACTGTACAGCCACATGCAAAGGAAAGAAACTGGACTGCTTTCTTACACCACACACAGAAACAAACCCAAAATTCATTGAAGACCACAAGTGAGACCTGAAGCCATAAAACTCCTAGAAGAAAACATAGGCAGTAATTTCTTTGACATCAGCCATAGAAACATTTTTCTAGATATGTCTCCTCAGGCAAGAGAAACAAAAGCAAAATTAAACTACAGGACGATAGCAAAATAAAAAGTTTTTACACAGCAAAGAAACCATCAACAGAACGACAAAGCAACCTACTGAGTGGGATAAGGTATCTGCAAACGATATATCTGATAAGGGGCGAATATCCAAGATATATAAAGAACTTAATACAACCCAACACCAAAAAAAATAAATAATCCAATTAAAAATTGGGCAGAAAACCTGAATAGACCGACAAATGGCCAACAGACATGAAAAGATGCTCAGCATCACTAATCATTTGGAAAACACAAATTGAAATCACAATGAGGTATCACATCTGTCAGAATGGCTAAAATAAAAAAAACAAAATGACAAGTGTTGGCGAGGATATAGAGAAAAAGGAACCTCTGTGGAGGAACTGTTGGTGGGGATGCAAACTGGGGCAGTCACTGTGGAAAACAGTATGGAGCTTCCTCAAAAACTGAAAAATAGAATTAACATATGATCCAGTAATCCCACTACTGGGTATTTAGCCAAGGAATATGAAAACACTAATTCAAAAAGATAAATACACCCCTATGTTTACTGCAGTATTACTTCCAATAGCCAAGACATGGAAGCAACCCAAGTGTCCATCAACAGATGAATGAATAAAGAAGATGATGTATATATATACAATGGAATATTACTCAGCCATAAAAAAGAGATCTTGCCATTTGCAACAACATGGATGGACCTAGAGGGTATAATGCTAAGTGAACTAAATCAGACAAAGACAAATACCATATGACTTCACTCATATGTGAAATTTAAGAAACAAAACAAATGAACAAAGAAAAAAGAGACAAACAAAAAAACAGACTCTGAAGTATAGAAAACAGATGGTTACCAGATGGGAGGTGGGTGGGGGGATAGGGGAAATAGGTGAAGGGGATTATGAGTACACTTATCATGATGAACACTGAGTAATGTATAGAACTGTTGAATCATTATATTGTACACCTGAAACAAATAAAACACTATTATACTTCAATTAAGAAAAAAAAGAAAAAAGAAAATGAAACAAGATGAGTTATGTACCCTACAGGATATCCAGTTACAAAGCTACAGTAACTAAGTATGATACTGTTATGGGAATACATAGCTCACTAAAACAGAACTAAGCCCACCGACTCCAGCAAATATAATAATGATGTTGGGGTAACTTTTTTACCACAAGGAAAAAAATATATATAAAACTGAATTCTTACCATATACCATACAAAAATAATCTCCAGATAATCTAAAGATCTAGCATTCAAAAAATCCTTTAAAAATATAAGAAAGTAGGAAGCCATTATATGACCTCCTAGTAGGATACGATAATGGACACGACACAATGATCTGACTTAATAATGAAAAACACTTATATGAAAAAAATGCTTAATAAACGTCATGTAAAAGGCAAGTAAACTGGAAGATATTTGCAATGTTACCTCTGCAACTCACTAAGAAAAAGCCAGAGTCCAACAGAAAACCAGGCAAAGAGCATAGACCAGTGATTCACCAGTGAGGGAATCCTGTCAATACACATGAGAAAAATGCCCAGACTCGTTAGGAATCACGTACAAACTCATCAAAACAATGACATTATACTTTTCACTCATTGGATTCGCAGAATTTCACCAGACAGCATCAAGTGTTGACAGAAATGTAAAAAATAGGAACTTTCGAAAATTGCCAGTGAGACTGAAAACCAGGCCGGCAACTTTGAAAACTCATTTGACTCTTGTCAAACTGGAGATGCACATTTTTTATGCCACAGTACGAAGAGAGATGCAGAAGGCTGTTCCCTGAAAGAAAATACTGAATATACCCTAATGTCCACTACAGGAGACCAAATGAACAAAATGTGCCACATTTATTTAATAGAATACAGTGATAGTAAATACATCCATACATAGCAACATAGATAGAACCCCATGATATAGTAATTGAAAATGCAGAATACAGATTGATGATATTTATGTACATTTGAAAAAACACTGAAGCAATAACGTTTCCTTAGGATCCTAGGTAAACGGTCAGGAACAGATGAATGTACGCACAGACGCACCGCGGTGGTGGCCTCTGCACAGTACAAGAGGGCACAGCACTGCGGGGACTGGTTAAAGGAACTTCACTTACATCTCAGTGTGTTATTTTGTTAAAATAATAATAATAATAATAAAATAAATAAAACAAAAAGCGGGGAAGTTATTACTTCTGGATGGTGAGAATGCGGACATTTATTACATTTATTATTATTCGTCCTTTTCGCTTCCCTTTTCAAGTTCTCTCTTGCAGAGGCCTCCCTCTAGTGGTCAACCACGAGCTCTCTTCCAACGCTGACAGGAGAGGGGCACGGATGGACCCACTGAGAACACTGCTAACACTGAACATTACGTAGGACTTACAAGCTGTCCATGGTAAATTTGGACTACACGTGATTTTGGCCTTAACTGACAAACTTTAGTATTAACACTCTTGTAAGGTGAGACTCAGCATTCATCAGCACGATAACTTAAAAGCAAACCACATGGAAAACACTTTCATTTCGGTGAGGATTTTTTGAGGGGCCAATCTTGTGTACAAAATTCAGTTAACCAAAATCCCTTTGCTCCAGTGCCATCTGCTGGAAGAAAGAGGCAACTGTACCTTCCACAAAACCCCACAGTTGGGGTTATCGGAGCAACATTCTTTCCAAGGAAGCATCCCCCTTCCTTCTGAGGTTACTGTGTAGTACACTAGTAACCATTTACTCTCATTAGAGCCTTCTCCAAACTAAATTCTTCAGCCTATTAGATGAGAAAGAGATGCTCTTTTGTCTTCTTCTGCGCAGAGTTTCCTTCTTCAATGTTTCTTAGTCAAATGATGCTTTCCATTCTTCCTCACCAGACCAACCTGCAACCATAATCTCCATTCATCCACATTTCAAACCCTCTATAGTAAAAAATTCTAACAGTTGATTTCTATATTAAAAATTTTAGTGTCATTTTGCTTTATATAAAACTGAGGATGGTTAAGAATTTTTAATTTAAAGGACTTTTAAAATACAATATGTTCTCACTATAAATATGCAATGGGAATTATAAATAGTTCCTTCTTTTAAGCACTGGACGATACAGTAAAAAACATACAGTATCTTACCCAAGAGCCAATAAAATAGGCTAGATTTTTCAGATGTTAAAGAAAAATAACAAAGAAAATGAAAAAAAAACAAAAACAAACAAAAAAACATAGTTACAAGGTCATGAATCCCTCAATTTGCAATACTGAATTCTTTGATTCATTTACAATCCAGAGATGTAACTGAACAGGGTAGTAAAATTACTTTGGAAAAAGTCAACTGTACTCAAGACAAAGTAAGTCAATCGTAAATGGTTTCCATTAGTGTTCTCTGTGGCCACGATTCCATTCAAGCTTTATAACCTGCTGTAATAGCTTTTTAACTGTTTCCAAATCAGCGCTAGCAGAGGATGGAAACAAATAAAGCCAAAGGCACTCCCTCAGAAGTTCAAAATTTTGATGTAGATTTAAATTTTAGCGAGTTTCAGTCCCTCCATTCAGATGATCCTGTAGGTACATACAAACACACTGAATTGTTGGCTTCACTTCTCTTCCATTCTCAAAGTTTACAATAAAGAGACTAATCCCTGTGTTGGGACTGACTGACATAAATTCGCATTTGTTCAGAGTTGAGGGTAAGGAACACTTAAGGTCAGTCAGAAAATAATTAAACAGGCTTTTCATGTAAGCACCATGACTCACAACTAAGACACTGGCGGCTAATCCTGGTGCGCCACTGTCTGCATTAGATTCAGAGGCACAGGGTTTTCCTAAAGGAAATATCTCTGCCAGAGAAGTTTCCAGACAGTTGCTTGGAGCTCCTTGGGAAAACTGTTCATTCTGACCTGCTTCTTGCAGGATCAGTTGACAAAGAATATCGAAAAAGTCTTTTCCACGCATTTTCACCTACAAGAAAAGAAATTAAAATAAAGTGGCATTAATGATTGTCTTAAAACATAAACATAAAACACAACTGACTGGATTTTTCTAATATGTCAACATAAAGTATTACATAAGCAGATGAAATTCTGTTTCCACTCATTCGATCAGTAGTAAATGCCTACCATACTTCTGGAATGATGGAAGCACACTGGGGCACAAAGAAGAGTAAGATACAATTTCTAATTCCTTACTTCAAAGCACTTACAATCTAGTTAGGGCGATTTACAAGGGAAAAAGGAGCCCGTAAGAGTGTTAACTAGGTAACGACATCTAGAGCACATCAGTTAGGTTAGAGCAACCACCAACAAGGACACAAAATCTTGCCTTTACTAAACTAATAAAAAGTCTTTCCAAGAAAATTATGAAAATAATAAACAAGGGAAAAAATCCCCAATAATGCAATTCAAAAGCAGAACACTCCAAAGAAAGGCAAGCACGGTGATGGGGTCACTTACAGAGCTAAAGACGCAGGAGGAGAGGCTTGATGATTGCGAGTGTTGAGTTATTTCGCCTCGAGTGTTCTGCCTACCACTGTCCTTGAACAGCAGCGCACTGCTCTCCTGCCTACTACTACCCCTGCTGTGGGTACCGCTGCAGACTCCGAGACTCTCCTTCAAGTATCACCCGATAACATACGTCCTTTACACCCAGTGCTGGCAATGACTGTCGACGTAACAGTAAATAAGGAAGACAGCTTAAAAAGGAAAAACAGGGGCGCCTGGGAGGCTCAGTCGTTAGGCGTCTGCCTTCGGCTCAGGTCATGATCCCAGGGTTCTGGGATCGAGCCCCGCATCGGGCTCCCTGCTCCGCGGGGAGCCTGCTTCTCCCTCTCCCACTCCCCCTGCTTGGGTTCCTCTCTCGCTGTGTCTCTCTCTGTCAAATAAATAAAATCTTTAAGTAAATAAATAAATAAATAATAACAAAATAAAAAGGGAAAACAAACACACTGCGCAGAGTTGTTTTATAAACCAAACAACTTTCAAACTGCTTAGCTAAGATTTAGAGACATCTCATTTACAAAAGAAACCCAATTTTAGCTACTTTGACGTTGGCAAGATCATCCACATGGGAACTCGCCCCAGGGCTACGTACCTGGTCTAAGGTCTCTCCTCCGGGTGGTGTGAACATAGGGCATTCTTCCCCAGCTGCTTTGGCCATTGCCCTTAGCTCACTTAGGGCCCTGCCTTCTGCGACCCCGTATTTCTGCAATGGTCCAATAGACAAAAGTGCCTCAAATGAATCTGCGACACATCCATTAAGTACCTGCTTGCAGCAAACTTGGAACAATCATTATGGCAAGAAGCTTGGTTTCCTTCCACTTTATTATATCTTTTAAACTGATAATGAGAACATACTCAGTAGAGGCTGCAAACCCTAGAAAATACAGTTGACACCTTGAATTGTACACTGTCCAAATGGGTTGTATGGAACAACACACCAAGTAGACAGTGGGGCTTTCCTGGAAAAATACAGAGACTTGCATGGACTCCAGGGCCAGAGACCAATATATGAAGTGCACCAAGTCAGCCACCTCACATCCACACGTACTATCTCATTTGATCCTAATAAGAGCACTACGAGATGGGTATTTTCAGCTCCATATTTATAAATGGGAAAGCTGAGTTTCAGAGAGGTTAAGCAACTGGCCTGTATTCCCACAGCCAATAATTAGTGGAGTTGAAATTCAAACCCAGATCTGTATGTTTTCAAAGCTCATTAGCTCTTTAGATTTATAAAGACTGAGCCATAGCAAAGGACACAGAAGTCACAAAAGAAACACAAATGACCAAGAAACACAGGAAATCTACAATGTAAAAATTAAAATGACACCTTTCAGAAGCTATTAAATTAGAAGACCAAAGACACTACCAATAGCTAGTGTTCATGTAGGAAAAACTTTCTCCTACATCATTCATGGAAGTATAAACTGGCTCAGCTTTTCTAGCAGGAAATTTAGCAATATGTATAAAAGGCTTTAAAAAAAAGTACACCTCAAAAATTCCACTTCTAGGAAATGTATTAGGGGTGTGTATAAAGAACTACAAAGAGGTTTATTTTAACATTATTTGTATCAGTGGAAAATCTAGTCACAACCTGGGTGTCCACCAGTAGCAGCTATGCAACTTCCATATACTGGAATAATGCAGTCACTAATTAGGTGATCATATCCATGTGCATTCATTAGCACTGAAATACACAAGGAGAAAAGCTAGTTAAAAAACAACACACATACGGGCACCTACGTGGCTTAGTCGGTTGAGCGTCTGACCCTTGATTTCAGCTCAGGTCGTGATCTCAGGGTCATGAGACTGAGCCCCATGTGTCGGGCTCCCTGCTCAGTGGGGAGTCTGCTTGAGATTCTCTCCCTCTCCCCAACTTGCGCTCGCACCCCCTCTCTCTAAAATAAATAAATAAATCTTAAAAAAAAAACCCACCACATATAGTAGGGGTACATTTAGAAAAATGCATACACAATCAGATAGATAGACTGACAAACACGAAAAAAAGTCAAGAGCACACATACCAAAATGTTCACAGTATTTGTGCATGGTAGAAATTTTTAACCGTATTTTCCCCCAAACTGTTCTTACTTTTAATTCCCTACAATAGTAACAGATTACTTGCATAATAAAATATTTAATAAAATATTTAGAGATAAACCACCATTTATGGTTTCACACTGCTGATGCCCCAAAATGTTAACACCACCATCAGACAGAAGTCCAACAACTACATGTTCTTTTTTTATAAGACCATATGCACAGTTGTCAGGTGCTCTTTCAATTCCCAAGTTCAAATTCTTACATCCTCAATTATAACGGGAACAACCTCTAATATAAAGGAGAACATTAAAATCATTACTTGGTTTGTTTTTTCAAGAACGTAAACATCCATTCATTAAATACTCCAACTGCTACACTGAAACATGTCAGGCAATGAGGCGAGAGCGGTGAAGAGACCAGGAGGGACACGCAGCTCCCCACCCTTGCTGAAACTGCAGTGTGGTGGGGTACTAACCTAGAACAGTAGGGGAACAGCGCCGTAATGGAAGGAACTACCGGACATAGACACACACAGCAGAGATGGCTAATCTGCATTTGCAGGGCTGCAGAAGGCCAAAGCCTTGGGGTGAACAGAAGTTGGCCAGGTGTGGAAAGCATATATCCCAGGCAGATTCGGAAGTTCAGTGAGGAAAGAGCATAGGATGCTTGGACAACTCTGAGAAGATCCGCGAGAGGCCTATCACCAGTGGTCCAGAACATGGAATCCAGGGCCAGATGGCCTCAATTTGAATCCGAGCTGTGCCACGTACTAGCTCTATGATGCTGGGCACAGACTTGACCTCTGTGTGCCTTGCTTTCTGCAACTGTAAAAATGCGGTTTTTAAGTCTTCACAACATGGGGGTGTTGTGAAGATTAACAAACCTGCAGGGCTCAGAGCAGGGCCAGAGTGTAGGGAGTACCATGCAAATGCTCGCTAATATTATTAAGGTCAGGCACGGAGCACAAGGAAGAGGATGGAGGCAGATGGAGGCAACAGATCATATCCTACAGCACGCTGACAGGCCAGGCTGGAGCTTGGACAGCCTCCCGAAGGTAAAACAGAAACGGAACAGTTCTACACAGGTGCGCAGCAACCACGTTTTCCAGACGACTCTGGCTGCGGCACGGAGATGAGATGAGAAAAGCAAGCGCCAGTCATAAGACGGGAGGATTGCTGTTCCCAGTGAGCTAGGAGACAGAGGACACTGAGGGCAGTAGGATGGCAGCAGTGGATTCAGGAACTACACAATAGCAGCCCTGACAAGATGATGGTAGGATGTGCACATGGGAGGCAAGTCCAAGTCAAAAATGCGTGGTTTGAACAACTGGGTAAAGCAGGGGCCGGGGACAGAAAAGGTGGTGCGTTCCACTGAGCTGTGGGGCACACACGGAGATAAAAGGTAGGTAGTTTGAGACATGAGCTTAGGCAAGAGCTCTCAGCTAAACATACATATATGGACATCAACTGAAATCACAGAAGAGGATGAAGCCACTAAGGAAGAGAGCAGAGTGAGAAGAGACAGCGCAGCCAATGGTCACACTCTCCCTACTGTAGATGACAGGCCTCGCTCAGTGCTCCGCTGAACTCACGATGCTTGTCTGTCACTGGAACTGGATTCCCAGGCACAGAGCGAGCCTCTCCAAGTAGTATCTCTGAGGAAGTTGTAGTATATATTTTGGATGAGAACAGAGAACACCCGCAAGTTATGAAAAGCAATTCTTTAGAGATGCCCAGCCATTTGACATTTCTATCCAGGTACAGAAGAAATCACAGGGCTGCCAGGGACATCAGCCTGCTTAAAGGCCTGTACGAAAGAGCAAAAACTGCTGCTCTAGGAGGAGGCGTGGGGTCAAATCTCAGATCTGAAAGTGAGGTGTGGCTTTAGCTAAATTGCCATTTCAGCAAGAGTCATTTCTGATATATAAAATGGGCACAAGAAAGTCTATTGAAGCTTAAAATTGAGAAGTAGGATGGGGAGGCTGACAAGAGAACTTCGCACTTTTACCTCCAACTCTTCTGTACTAGTTGTTACGAGCAGACTTTGCTTTTATAATTTAGGATGCCTACCTCACACAAATTTAATAACTAAATAAGATACTATGTATGAGCGTATATAACAGCCACGGTCACATAGCAGGTTCTTAACATATATATTAGCTGATTCCACACCCCTACCAAGAATGCATCAGATCAACTGAGGTGGTTTACTGATAATTTACGGTGAAGAATAATATGTAAGTAAGCTACTTACTCTTTCTCGAAGTCTTGAATCATACTTTACTGTCAAATCTTTGCAAACTTTGCTCTTCTCCAAAATCCCATGCACGGTCTGAAAATGGAAAGACAACGGTTTCTTTTCTCATAAAAACAGTCATTCTGGCCAAAATGTCGAAATACAGCACAGTAAAATCAAAAAGAATTAGAGGGTCGCCTGGGTGGCTCAGTCAATTAAGCATCTGCCTTCGACTCAGGTCATGATCCCGGGGTCCTGGGATCCGAGCCCCGATCAGGCTTCCTGCTCAGTGGGGAGCCTGCTTCTCCCTTTCCCTCTGCCACTCCCCCTGCTTGTGCTTGCTCTCTCCCTCACTCTCTCTCTCAAAGAAATAAAATCTTAAAAAAAAAAAAAAAGAACTAGAAATAATTTTCCTTCATGAAAGTTGCCTCTCTTCTGTACTGCTCATCCTTCGCCTCTTCACACGAATTTGGATATTTCCTTCTGCGCTATCTTCTAGTTCAGAGGTCAGCAAACTATAGCCCAAATCCAGACCGAGGCTTGTTGTTGTGACTGAAGATCTATTAGAACACAACCCCTTACATACTGTTTGTGGCTGCTCTCACTGTACAACAGCAGGAGTTGAACAGTTGTGACAGAGAGCATACAGCCCATAAAACTTAAAATACGTACTATCTGGCCCTTTACAGAAAAGGTTCCAGTTCATTAATTCTCCATCCAGGTGTGCCTAAACTGCTGTTAAACCCATCTACTGAGTCTTAATTTCAGTTACATTTTCAGTTCGAGAATTCACGCTTGGTTCTTGTACATCATTTCCAGTTCTCTGCTGAAATTCTCAGTGTCATTTTTTAATCTATGCGTTCAGTGGCTATTTTAAAGTCCGTGTCTGGTAACCAGTTATCGAAGAAGTCCTGAAGCTGTTTCTGTTGTCTTTTGTTTGGGCTCATTTTTGTTCATGTTCCTTTCTCTCGTGGTGTGCCTGGTTATTTTTGATCAACAAGACACTGTATTTGCAAAACTGTAGAAATAATTTAAGTCCACAACCTGCCTTTTTAATCCCCTCCCCACAAAGTAAACATTGTCATCATTATGATTCTGTATTATCAATATTTGTTTACATTTACCTTTACCAGTGTCTTTGCTCACCAATCTTTTCTAAAACTCAGACCTCCCTTCTGGCATTATTTTCCCTCTTCCATTAGCCTTTCAAAGTTTCTTTATAGCCTGTTTGTCCGAAATGTCTTCATATCACCTACATTCTAGACAATGTTTTTGCTGGGTATAAAACTCTAAGTTAGTCTTTATTATCACTCAGTGCATTAAAAAAAAATTATTACCGATACTAACAAATTTGTTGATAGTCTAATATTGGCCATTAGTGGATGATGTTTGTCCTTCTTTGGAGTTTTGCAATTTTGTTATTGTAAGCATAAATATGGGCTTCTTTTTATTTATCTTGACTGGGATTTATCACCCTTTCTAGATCTGTTATCTTTCAACAGTTCTGTAAAATTATCAACTGTGACTTCTTTGACCCCTTTCCCATTTTAAATACCTCCTTCTGAAAGACACCAGACCTCATCATATTCTTGATTTCTTTCAAACTCTCATATTTTTAATATGTTCATTACACTGTGCTACATTTCAGTTACTATCTTACATTTACCTATGAGCTAATGATTATTTTGGCCATGTTTAATAACTTAGTACATCCACTGAGTTTCTGATTTTTGGTTTATTAACTTGTTCTGCATTTTTAAACCAATTTTATTGAGGTATAATTTACAACAAAAAATATACCTAGTCTTAAGTGTACAGTTCACAGAGTTTTAAAATATATATATACCTTTCTAAATACCACCAAAATCAAGATATGGAAGAATTCTGTCATCCTAAAAGATTCCTTTGTGTCTTTTCTAGTTGATCCCCCCACTCCTGGCCCCTGGCAACCACGGATCTGCTTTATGTAACTGAAGATTAGATCTGTCTTTTCTAGAGTCTCCCATAAATGGAGTCCTACACTATGTACTCTTTTGTGCCTGGCTTCTTTTGTTCAACATGTTTTTGAGACTTTTCCATGTTGCTGTTGAGCTGTATTCCACCGCGTGAATGTATCACAGTTCACTTATCCATTCATCTACTGATGAACACAGGCGATCCGATTCTTTGCTTATTATAAACAAAGGTGTTAAAAAATTATATACAAGTCTCTCTGTAAACATACATGATTTCTCCTGGATAAATTCTTAGGATGGAAATTGCTGGATCATATGATTACTATACGTTAAACTTCCACTCTTTTCCAAAGTAGTTGGTCCATTTTACATTCTAACAATGTAGGAGTTCTAGTTGTTCCACATTCTTTTATCTTTTTTTAAAAAAGATGTTTTATTTATTTATTTGAGAGAGAGAGGGCACAAGAAGGGGGAGGGCCAGCAGGGAGCCTGTGGCGGGATTAGATCCCGATACGGGATCCCGAGACTCCGGGATCATGACCTGAGCCTAAGGCAGTCACTTAACCAACTGAGCCACCCAGGAGCCCCCACAGTCTTTTATCTTTTTAATTTTTTGCATTTGCAAATGTTTGTGTAATAGCATCTTACTGTGGTTTTAATTTGCATTTCCATTAAGATCACTTCTGCTAAGCATCTTTTCATCTCCTTACTGACCTTCCATATTCTCTTCTTTTGTGAAGTGCCTGGTCAAATTCAAATCTTTTGCTCATTTTAAAGTGGGTGTTTGTCTAATTACTGAGTTGAAAAAAATTTAGATAAAAAATCTAGATAATTTGTCAGATATATACACACACATACATTAGATATGTAATATACACATTCATAATTTCCTCCCAATCTGCATCTTGTTTATGCTTTGCACTAAGAAACCTTTATAAAGATTTTTCTCTGTGTTGGGGGGGCGGAGCAAGATGGCGGAGGAGTAGGAGACCTGGATTTCGTCTCCTCTCAGGAATTCAACTGGATAGGGATCAAACCATTCTGAACACCTACAAACTCAACAGGAGATAGAAGAAAAGAAGAGCAACAACTCTCTCATCAGAAAAGCAACCACTTCCTGGAAGGTAGGACGTGCGGAGAAGTGAATCCGAGGCGAT